GAACTTGTGGGTATGGTCCTGCTTCAGTCTCCCAAGTACTGGGATTATAAGCGTGCCTGGCTAATGATAATATTTTTGACATTTACTCAACACCAACTGTAAGTCAGACTGTGTTTGGTGTTTTATATTTTATTTCCCAGTAGGTGCTGTTAGTTTATTTTTTATCTGCTTAAGTCAGAGATTCACTTTAGTTAGATAAGGTTAAAATATTAACTAGGGATGTATAGCATTTGAATCTAATTTGCCTGGTTTAGGAATCTTACGTCTTTTGCATTACTGAACATTGCTCTTCCTTAAATTGTTATACTCCCGAGGAAGCCAGACAAACTGAAAATAAGCTTCATTAAAAACCTAAGATTTGTTGCTAGCAGTGGTAGCATACACTTGCAATCTTAGCTACTTGGGAGGATGAGACAGGAGGACTGCAAGTTGGAGGTCAGTGTAGGCAACTTTGTGAGACCTTGTGTCAAAAAATAAAAAGGTCTGGGATGTTGCTCAATCGTAGAGTGCTGAGGCCCTGGGCTCAATCCTCAGTATCACAAAAACAAAAAAACAAAAGCAGAGCAACAGAAAAAATTTAGATTTCTAAACTTGGCAGATTAAAGAACAAAAAAATTTAAGATTTCTAAACTTGGTGGATTAAAGAACCAAGGAGTAAGCAGTATGAAATAAAACAATAAGCCCTACGAGGAAGAGAATAAAAAAGTACTGTTAAATATCTCACAACAGATATGAATTCTAATTATATATATATATATATTTTTTTTTTTTTTTCCCCTTCTTTTTTACAGAGGGCTGTTAGGAGAAAGTAATAGCATTCCCTCCATTATCTTCCCTTCTCAAAAACTGAATGAATGCTCTTCATGCTCCATCTGATTAAGCTGCTCAATGCTAGGATACACTGGGATGATGAGCTAGTTGGGGTTACTCTTAGTCTCCACAGAGAGAGGCAGTTGGTAGATGGACTCAGCTTCCGGGTTCAGGAACGGGGGCTGGGTAGTATCTGGCCTGGATCTATAGTTTATCTACACAGGAACCAACTTACCGTGCTTAGGATACACAGTTCACTGAGTCTTGGCATTGGCTAGCAGGGGAGAGTGTGGGGATGGAGAAACAAGGAAATGAACTTAATAGGACAGAGATTTTAGTACTGGCAGAAAGAAAGCCAGACTCCTCTGGATTTGGGAGATGATTAAAATCTTAGCTACTAAGCTAAGAGCTGTCAGTGACAAGTGGCTGCTTCAGGTGTCAAATCTCATCATCCTCTCAATCCCTACACAAACACCAAGGACTACAGACATTGGCTCAGCGCCCGTTTTCTTCTTGCCAGGGTTGCACGGTCTAACCTCCACTGGCTTTTCATGACAGCTGACTGTGAGTCAGAATTTCAACAGTGTGGCTAAGGACTATTCTGGAAATCTAAGTGCTTTCATGATTGGCTTTGGTGTTCAGTTTAACATTACTACTTATGTTTGTTGTCAGTTTTAAATAGACACAAGTGTGAAAAACAGATTTTAAAGAGACCCCTGATAAAGCCTAACCCTAATCATTTTCCCCAACTCCAGTTTTATTTAGACTTTATGAGCTCCTAAAGAGACACTCTTAAAGAGCATATGCTTATGCTTATACATGTATATAAAGTATAGATAATATGGGACCTTCTGAGATTGATTTATTACTGAAGATTCCTTAACTCTAACTTTTGAATACCAGAGAAACTTCAATGTGCACAAACCTGCATGAAGTTCTCAGTTCCTAAACTTTGGTTATATGAATATGACTCAAGCACCACAGAAACCAATCCTAACTTAAAAAGAAAAAGCCTCAAGAAACAAAAAAGCCCTTCAACCCTCTTTCATCTGTTTTCTTTACACCACATGAGGAGAACTCTGTTTTGTTCTACATTTCCTTTCATCTGGGTCAGTTTTCAAAAACAGTGTGAATAAAAATTGATCAGAGGAAATAGGACAGATAAACCATTACAGATAAAGCTGATGGCTCAAGACAACTTCTGGAAAGTAGTCTGTGTTAAATAAATAAAAAAACTGTTTTAACCTAGGATATTCGTATTATGCAACATGTATGAAAAAATCCCCAATTTTTAGTTTTCAAAATTCAAAAAACATGGAGCCTAAAAAAGAACTGGAGGTGAAAGGCTCACAGGGAGACTTGCAGCAAACTCCATGACAGAGATGCTTGGATTTCAGCTTCTTCCTGGGTTCACTGGCATTTGCTAGCTGCAGAAGCAATCTGTATAATATACAAGCATGAAGAAAGATCTGGCAACTAAGCACCTTAATGGGGTTTCACAAGAAAACTGATGGGCAAAAGAAAAAGAAAACCAAAGACTGAAGCAGAAGAAAATGGGAAGAAAACATAACTAACCCTATGTAAATTAGGATGGAGAGGGCCCAGAAGTCCAAACTGACAACTGCGTATGTGTGGATGGGATTGCATCTCTGACTACAAATATGGATTATATACACATTTATATTAACTTAAGTCAGTCTATACCCTACACCTGACTATTCAAACATGATGTCTCTGAGCAGTGGGAGGTTTAGGTCACTTGGCCCCTCAGGTCCCTGTCCTCTGCCCTGGCTGGTTGGCAGTTTCCGCACAGGACTCAACAGCGTGGTATATGAAGGGATAAAGCTTGACGTCCAGCCCTGGTGTGGAACAATTTCTGCATTCTTCATTGTAGTACTGTAGCAACAGCTTGTATACTTCTCCTAGAGAGGAAAAGGCCAGAAGAATTTGCATACTAAGATATGTAGACAGGAAAAAACTTCAAAAGAATACTCCAGTTTTATCTTAATCTAAACAGCATATGCTCGGATTTTGCTTTTGAAACAATGGCATGATTCTGTATAGCTAAAAAGCTTTCCTAGTATACACTTTAAGAAGTTGCCCAGCTCTTGACACAGTAGGCTACACACAGTGCATTGTCCATGCTTTCAAAGTTTTTTTTAGTTTTTGCAGTGCTAGGGATTGAACCTAGGTCCTTGCACATGTGAGGCAATTGTTCTACAACTAAGCTATATCCTCAGCCCTTGTCCATGCTATCTTGGGGGCTCATGGACCCTAATTATATATGCTCAGCTCCCAAGGTAGTTATCATGCTGGATGAGCATGGTGCATGTCTGTCTAATAAATATGCTTTCAGCCTGGAGAGGCTGGAATTTATTTCGTGTCTTCCCCCTTTGGTTTTCTTTTTTTATTTTTGGCGGTGGAGATTAAACCCAGGGTTTTATGCATGTTAAGCATGTGCTCTACCACTGAGCTATGCCCCATTCCTTCTTTAGTTTTCTATCCATAGAAAAGTGAAAATGGGTAGTAACTGTAGCTTCTTGATCCTACTCTTAACAGACCGACACATTCATTCAAATCATGGATGAAAGTGGCAGAAAAACACGCTGCAAATGCTGCCCCTCTGTGCTCTGCCCTCTCCCTTCAAAATCACCTGTTCACTCCTTCTAAGCCACTGTGATTCATCCAGATTTAGCAAATGCTCCTCCTACAAGTGGCCCATCCATCTAGATAGCCAGGGTCGGGACTGCCTCCTACTCACCAACAGTCAGCCTCCGCTCGCTGAGGAAAGTGTGCATGTTGTAAATGTCTCGCATCAGCTCTGCATCCCCGAAGGTGAAATAAGCCACATCTCGCTCAGCTGCAGCAGCTGCCAGGATCTGTATTAAGGCTGCATCAGAGAGAAAAGATGCAGCTGTATAATGACACTGCCCATCAAGGCACCTTTAGCTCTGCCAGCCAGCTAACTTATAGCTGATGTGCCATTACTTTATCTAGATTAAAGATTTATAAGCTGAATATACACGTTATTAGATATAGTGAATACAAGATGGGCATAAATCATCTAGTTGTGTGACTTTTCAGATATGCTGCTGAGAATATCATTAAGCCACCCAATTCTCATCCAGACATCTTTTCTAGACCATAAATAAAGGAAAGTACATCTGAAGCAGCAAACCAAGGTACTGAAATGGTGGTATTCATAGTCACTTCTATTAATCTGGGAATTGAATTTTTGTGTTTGCTTGCTTGATACAATAGTTTATCTTATTACACAGTCACTGGTCTTTGTATCACAGCAGGTTCTAATGGCTCAATTAACCGTGGTGAGCATTCCCACAGAGGGCTGGCAAGCACTCTCGAATTCTTCCTACACCTCCACCTCCATCTGTCCCTGCAGCTTCTAGTCCCTGTTACTGAAAACACCAGCCCGAACTTTCTCCTATGTTGGAAGAGAAAAGCAATTGAGAAGTATTGTCCCTGGGAGTCAAAGCTACAAACCAGTATGCTAAAGAATGATTCAAAAAATAAGGTTCTTTTACAATCTTAATCTTAATAGGTAGAATTTAAGTAACAACTAAAGTGAACATAGTTGCAATAAAAAGTCCGCTTGATAAGTCATGTATCTTTTACTTCATAAAAAGGTGGGAATCAAATTAAAATATTATGGAGGATAAGTGTAATTTTGATTGACAGCATACTAATATTTATTCTACACATTAAAAAAAAGATTAATAATGGAGTTTTGTGTGGTGGTACATGTCTATAATCAAATCACTTTATGAGGCTGAGGAAGGAGGACTGCAAGTTTGAGTTCAGCCTGGGCAATGTAGCAAGATGCTGTCTCAAAATAAAAAATGGGCACGTAGCTCAGTGAGAAGGCCTGGGTTATGATCCTAAGTACTGCAAGCAAAACAAAAAGAATGGGAGTGGGTAGGAACTATCAGTGAAAGCACACTAAAACAAATGAGCCTTATTTAGTTCAACTGAGTAACAGAACTACACGGGGGAAGAAAAAAGAAAGGAAGAAATAACCCAATTAACTTTTGAACATGGTATTTGACTACCTTTAGTCTTGGGCAGGGAGGAGAGAATTACAAATTTCCAACTCTTTTTTCTTTCTTTCTTCGGTTTACTTATCTTAGTAGTGCAGGGAAAGCAATCCTGAAGTTACTTCTTAGTGTATTAGAGGATAGAGGGCTGAATAAAGGTGTAAGATGCTGTCGGGAGCTGAGGTTGCTATGGAAGAAGGGACCTGCCACAATGGAACAAGGGGAGACAGAACTCTGGGGTGGATGGAAAAGGAAGGCTCTGGAGTGTGCTTGTGATATCTAAACGACATATATTTGTATGTGTGTTTATACACACATTTCTTTGGTCTGCTGGCTGAAGGGGACAAAACACTAACATTCCAGTAGCAATGAGCATGTGTAGTGTCCAGATCTTGCTCTCTAATATAATTCCCCCTAAAAAGAATGGATTCTTTGGAGAAATGACTGATTCTATGGTTGGGACAAGAAAGGCACGAGAGAAACCTAGAACATTTTGCTGTATCAGAAAGTAAAGGGGTGCTGAAAAAATGATGGGAAAAAAAAAATGATGGGAGGTTATCACAATGAAATGGGAGCCAGCTTGAAGGAGCTCCCAAATCTAGACAACCTAGGGACCGATATACTAAGTACAGTAATGAATTACAAACCTTGGAAAAATTATGCATCTCAAAGTCCATGCTGATGAACAGGCAGATACATAAACAGAGGACAGGAGGGAGGGCTCTTGCCCACAAGAGAAAGCAGAGACTAACTGGGAAGTTGGAGAGAGGGCCACAGGAACTATGAATAGATGCTGAATCCACAGGAAACTCTGTCTTACGATGTCTCTCCACAGACTGTGTATTATTTACAAGGGAGAAGAAAACTGTAGTTCTATACTGTGGAGAAACCAGGCAACACCTTTCTTGGTGGTCCCAGTGCAGCTCCCACTGGTGTCTGATGCCATCCAGTGTTGTAGACAGCATCATGGATGTGAGAGCTGACTGATAGTGCTAAGCTTCAACCTCAGCATGAGAAAGCAGCAAACCAAACACGCCAATGTCATAAAGGACAAACTCCATGGGAAGCTAAAAGACTGGCATGGGGCCAAAATGGTTTACCTCACACTGGACCCTGTGCTGGAGGGAAAAAGGCTACAAAAACTTTTTTTGTTGTTTCTGAGACAAGGTCTCACTATTGTAGCCCAGGTTAGTCCTGAAATTGCAGTCCTCCTGCCTCAGCCTCTGGAATGCTGGGATTACAGGCATGTACCACCACAACTGGCTCAGAAAGACTTGATCAGGTCACATGAGATAATGAAAATATAGAGGAGAGAGTAGATATAAATATCAATGCATATTTATGAATAACCAATGTGGCTAAAAAAGAGAACTTTTTCCTCTTAGGAAATATGTTTAGGTATATTTAAGAAGGGGTATAATGTATGTAACTTATGCTTGAATTGTTCAGAAAAAGAATGTACATATACATAGAGACATATTTTTACTTTTTACAAATTTTAAATTATTTTTAAATGAATAATATGTAGAAAGAAAACTTTTAAGTTGAACAAATAAAACTGCTTGAGTATTCTCCAGATTTGGAGAAGAATATGTTATATTACAATACCTGTGAGATTCTAAAATATTATCAAAGTATGTTCTAAAAGCCAAAGTAGTATTTGTTGAGTATGTACAATCAGGGAGGAACCACAACTAGGTCTCATTAATCTCAGTGTTGAAATTAATTAATTTCAACATAGAGGTAAGTTTTAATTAAATTTGCTCAACCAACTTACGCATACATGAAAGCTTCAGAACATCCATTTAAAAAGGTTTCTAATTAACCTAAACTACATATGAAAATGGAAACTAATGAATTGTCATCTTCCTCTACCAAGAGGTATCTACCATATCTTACCTTTAAAGAGAAAAGCCCCTTTGTCCAATTTCCTACTAGACTGGTCATTTGCCACTTATGAAAATAAAATACTGTATTAATAAACATTTAAAATTTATTTCCTTATACAATTTATTCTAAAAATGTTTCAGAGGCCACTTTGCACTACAGAGTTTGGCATTAAACTTGACAGTACTACCAAAAGTAAGAGCGAGGAGAGAAACCAATTTGCAGCCTTCCCCCCGCTTCTTTTTCTTGGTCCTGGGGACCGAACCCAGGACACTGCCATTGAGCTACACGCGCCCAGCCCTGTTCTACACCCATTCCTGCCCAAGGCATGCTGTTCCATGAGCAGTCAGACCGGGAGATGAGTGACCATGCTTAGTCCTCACCTTTGGTTAGTTGGCTTTAGCCAAGGATTGGACACTCTTGGGTTCATTTTTCTCAGCTACACAATGAAGGAGGTGAATCAGATCATCCCCAAATACTTTTTCAGAGTTTAGCATTCCATAATCGCTGTTCTAATTTCTCTCCCTGTATTAGACTGTAAATACACAAATGAGATTCCCAGGAAGATAAATTAATCTCAACCCTATGTGCTTCTGTAGTCACTGACAAAAGTTCATTTAAACAGCACTGTCTGCAGACCTCATTGTGACATCCCCAATGTGTGCAAGTCCAGAGAGATATGCCTCATGACTTAAGTGAGCTCTCTTGCATCAAAAGTTAGATGGCAATAAATCACAACTCTAATAGGGTGTGTGGACTGATTCCAAGTCTAATACAAAAGCCCTGAATTTTAACTTCAAGCACAACTAGGTGCCAAGATAATTACTTAAATTAACCTGCAGGGAGCTAGGTTTTAATTTTCTTTTTGGCATCAATGTTAAACTATGAAGAAAATGCAAATAAATATGAATAACAACCTCAAAAAATAATTTATAGTGTCCTTTTGCAACAAATGAATCCAGCAAAAACTGGGTAAATGATGGCTACTGCGCCACAGAAGTGGTCTGTGCCATTAGCAGGTAATATTATTAACACCTGCTAACCCCAAGCTCTTACAGCATGGGCCACTGTTCTAGCACCTTCACCAGCACTGACTCACGACCTACCAGGATGAACTTATTTAATCCTTACAGAGACAAAGATATGAATATTATCTCTCTCTAGAAAATAAGGATATCCAGGCACCAGAAGGCTACGTAATTTGTGTAAGGTCACCCAGACAAGACGCGGTGGACCCAAGGTCTGATCTTGGCAATCCAACTCACATGCCCTCACCCATTCTGCAATCAGACCTCACCACACACAGGCACCAGAATCTCCTCACACCATCTACAGCATCATTTAAATGCATGCTGGCAAGGAGGCTCAATGGGTACAGACTGGAAAGCATGATTCATGCCCTTCCAGTGAACCCAAGGCCCATTGTGGCCTGACTGCCCTGCAGTGCTCTCCTTGTCACAAGACAGCTTGTTCAAGCCAACTCTTCTCCTCTAGTTGCTTTTTCATCTGGC